CACATAGACTACTTAATGGATGGCATTTTAAGCCAGTTTTAGAAAATACTCTTTCTTTCCCATTTTTTAATAAAACGAAAATAGCTGTTGTTTTGTTCATGGGTCTTGAAAGCTTCTGGTTTGCCACTCCCAAAATTCACAATGCAACAATGCATTGACAGTTAAACACAACATTCAAAGACTACTTAGTGGAATATCTACAAAGTGTGACTTGAGTCACCAGGGTTTTTGTTTTTGTTTTTCAGTCTTTCAAGCTGCTAAATGGGGCTTTTTGTTTGCTTGCTTGCTTCTTTTTTAAACATCAGTCAGTAGCTTGCTCTTATTAACGCAGTTTTGATTAGCCGTGGTGCAGTTCCCAGTTCTGATATTGGCCTGTCTATAATGGGCTATGCTATTGTTCAAATCCTCTTCAATCTCCATGTACTCAGACTTGCTGATGGTGGAGGAACTGCGGCGGCTGAGGTCACTGTCAGAGGCTAAGTTAGGGGAACTAACGTGGAGCAACTGAGCCTGCTCTTCCCCCTCAGTTTCTCGGTGGTAGAAATAGTTGAAATTGGACACAATGACAGGTACGGGCAGGGCAATTGTCAGCACACCAGCGATGGCACACAAGGAGCCCACGATCTTGCCTCCAATTGTCACAGGGTACATGTCACCGTATCCTACAGTGGTCATGGACACCACCGCCCACCAGAAAGCATCAGGGATACTGGAGAAGTGCGACTCAGCTTCTTCCGCCTCGGCAAAGTACACTGCACTAGAAAATAGTATGACCCCAATGAAGAGGAAAAAAATGAGAAGCCCTAACTCCCTCATACTGGCCTTGAGGGTCTGGCCCAGGATCTGCAGGCCCTTGGAGTGGCGGGAGAGTTTGAAGATTCTAAACACCCTTACCAAGCGGATGACCCTGAGGATGGCCAGGGAAGTGGCCTGCTCCCCCTTCTGATTTCCCTCCTGCTCAGCTATCTCCGTACCTAGGGTGATGAAATAAGGGATGATGGCCACGATGTCAATGAAGTTCATGATGTTTTTAAAGAAGTCCGTCTTGCTGGGGCAGGCGAAGAAGCGCACCACCAGCTCAAAGGAGAACCAAATGATGCACAAGGTTTCCACGATGAAGAAGGGGTCCGTGAAGATGTTGGAAGTGTAGATGACAGTGGTGTTGTCGATGCGGTGAATGGTACCCGTGAAGTCCTTGTCATCCTTCAGCTCGGGGAGAGTCTCCAGGCAAAAGATGACGATGGAGATGAGGATGACCATGACGGACACGATAGCGATGACCCGGGCTGGCCCTGAACTCTCTGGGTACTCAAAGAGCAGCCACACCTGGCGCTGGTACTCCTTCTCCGGTAGGGGGCGCTCTTCTTCCTTGATGAAACCTTCATCCTCCCTGAACTTCTCCATCGCCTCTTCGCCCAACTCATAAAATTTAATCTCCTCGGAAAACATGTCCAGGGGCACGTTGACTGGCCTCCGCAGGCGGCCCCCGGATTGGTAGTAGTAGAGGATGGCATCGAAGCTGGGCCGGTTGCGATCGAAGAAGTATTCGTTCCTCAGAGGGTCGAAGTAGCGCATGCGTTTCTTAGGGTTGCCCAGCAGCGTGTTGGGGAACTGTGCCAGGGTCTTGAGCTGCGTCTCGAAGCGCAGCCCGGAGATGTTGATCACCACGCGTTCACAGCACTCATGATCCTCGTGCTCTGCCTGCCTCGGGTAGCTGCCATCCTGCGGGTGGCCCGGAGCGGCCGAAGCCTCATCCGCGTTCTCCCCGGACATCACAGTCATGATGGAAGCCGGGCGCAGGGGTGGGAGGCCAGAAGACAGCCCAGAGTGCGAAGGAGAGAGGGAGAAGGGGTGGGGGGGACCCAAGCGCCCCCCCCACCGGAGAGTGCTTCTCCCCCACGCTCAGGGGGAGGGGCTTCAAAGCCAGCGGGTATGGAGATCTGCGACTTAGTTCTCACCTGCCTTCTACTCAATTTGGAATCTCTCTCTTGTCTGAGGACCCAGTGCAGAGTTTCTGTGAGGGTTGGATTTGGGGGTTTGCTCTGTTTTTGCCTGGGCGGGTGGCTTTTTTTTTTTTTTTTTTTTCTTCCTGTTCCGATTGCCTTAAGGCACACGGGCCATCGCTCAGGGATTCGCCCTGGCTCCCCTCCCCTCGTGGAATCCACTTAGGACCCGGTGCAGTGCCAGTTCAGCAGATCCCCACGCCTGTCACCCCCTCTGCCGCTTCTTGGCTCTCCCCCCTCCTACCCCTCTTCGCCTGCCGCCTTCTACGCTCCCACCGGGGCGATCGATGGACGCTGCAGAGAAATGGAAAGTGATACGGGGGGGGGGGGTAGAAAATC